TCAGAAAGCTATTTAAGACCCCCCCCCCACGCGTTATGCCGCACCACAGCCCCCCCCCCCCAAACAAATTTTAAGAAAGGCCAAGGGAAACGCACCAATACCGGCACGGCCAGCCGAAGCGAGCACCGGGGCAGAAGTTGCCGCCCCACAGAAAGCGGCACTCAGGCAGACGTGGGCCACCATTGCGTCCTCCGGAATCGACGTCGACGGCTTCCGGCTAGTCCCAGCAAAGAAGAGGAGACAAGAACCAGCGCCAGGAATCCGAGAAACAGCACCCTTGGCCCCTTCAACCCCACACGCCAGGCAAAGAAGGCTCCTTATTCGGTCGGTAGAAAGGGGCCGCAGCATAGGAGCAGCGGAGTTGTCACCAGCCAGAATCTGAGATGTGATTAACTCGGCGTTCAGGGTTAAGTTCGCATACGCAGAATTCAACCGAAACGACGACCGGGTACTTACCACCATGGGAGACCTACCGGCCGAACCAGCCCTCAACGATGAATCGGCAATCACCAAGGCCCTGAACGAGATTGACGTTTTCGGCTTCAACATCACCACAGACACGCCGTCCATCAACATCGTCATCAACAGCATACCACTAGGCGACGAAGACTGGACACCAGAAGAATGGGACGCAGACTCCGATGGATGGGAGGACCTAACAAAGGAAATCTCCGAATACAACCCACAGGTCCGGTTGCTAGACAGACCTAAATGGCTCAGGTCCCCGACAGCGCTCAAGGCTGAGGGAAAAGTCAAGTCCTCGGCAATCGTGGCAGTAGAGGCAAACGACTGGATCATGGCGGAAACCAGAAAACCCCTCCCAAGTATGGCCATCTTTGGCATGAGATGCACCTTCCGGAAATACATGAAGAAAGACTCGTCAACCTGTTACGCGAGGTGCCTACAGTTCGGGCACCACGCCGTCCACTGCAGGATGGAAGCAATATGCAAATATTGTGGGGGAAGACACCACACTAAAGACCACCTCTGTGCGCAGACGTACTGCATGGCAGGAAAAGGGAAGATGTGTTCCCACATCCTGAGAAGATGTGTTAACTGTGAGGAAACCTCTCATTTCGCCGGAGATAACCATTGCCCAACTAGGACTAGGGCAAAGTCCCTGGCACAACCCCCCACGGCCACCG